ACAACTGCATGGACCTCTGGGGGCGCTGTGGGGCCTGGGTGGCTTTGGTAGGATAGGGAGCAGCAACTTTGGTAGGACAGGGCTCACCCTGGAGGGAGTTTGGGGCGGGAGACCGGAGATACGGGCCATGAGGGGAGGAAAGTGCAGATGTTGGTGGGGGGCCAGGGAAAGGGGAGGGTGCACAGATGTCACCTTTCTGTCCGGAAACGCTTGGCGCTGCAGCAGGAGGGGGATGCGAGCACAGCGTTGCACATGTCCCGGCCCCCAGGGTCCCTTGCGGATCCTTCTGAGAGGAAGGGATGGTGTCCGGCCGACACCCGACCTACCTTGGACTTATTCCTGCCCGACCACCGTGGTGTCAGCCTGGGTGTGTGCACCCGTGTGAGAGTGATGGCTGAGGTCTGTGCGGGTGGCGGTGAAGGAATGGCCCGAGGGAGGAGAGTGCCGTTGTGACGCGGACAAGTTGCGGGTTGCTGTTGATGGACAAAGAGCTGTGTCCAGATGTTTAATGAGAAGAGGTAGGACCTGGATTTTCTTTTCTTCTCTTAAACACATTTTATCTGGCCTTTTTCTTTTCTTTTCTTTTTTTCTTCTAATGTTTCCATTGGGTGGTGCTGCAGGAATTCCTACCTTTTGCCTTGGATCTCCCCTTCCCAGAAAGACGCTCTGAAGCATAATGGGCGGAAGTCCTGATTTAGAACGATTTTACAGTTCCAGCACAATGGGAGAGTCTGGAGGATGCTCTGGCAGGAAACAGCTCCGTTCCTGGATGTGGAAAAACCACCATCATTTCGTATCATGCAAAAGTGTCCTTGCCACACGGGGCATACCCTTTCGGCTTTCACCAACTTGTTTTTCAGCAGAGAACAGCGTTCACGCTCATCACTAGAGACGATGATTTCATCCTAGTGGCAGTGGTAGGGCAGATTTCCTCTACTTTCAATTTTCGTAGAATTATCCTCACAAAGTCCCTAAGCAAATAAACATTTTCTGATGTGAAGACGAATCAGATTTTAAACATGTATCTGTTAAGGCTTTATTGAAGTTGGAGGCACTTCCCCCTTCGTATTTTAGAGATCATTTGCACAAGATAATTGGTCAGAAGATAACTTAGATTTTTACTTTCAAAATACTTTTAATCATAAAAAGGCTTTTAGCTTGGTAAGACTTAGGTATGGAGGGGGAGGGTTGGCCATCTCCCTGCTTCACAGAGAAAGAAGTTGAGGCGGAGAGAAACTGGCGTCCCTGCCCGAGATCGCCTAACTCTTGTAAAGCTGTGGACAAGATGAGGGTGTCTGTGTTCTGACCCCCTTCCCTTGGGCACGGGACCAAATTTTATTAATATGAATAATAAAAAAAATGTAGGTAAAAGGTTTTCCATTCAAAGGCCTATGAAATATAAGGATCAGGGGAGTAAGGGGTGGGGGAATACCCACTGGAAATTAGGAAGCAGCTCATATGGAGCTCAAATTTCAGGACAGTTAGCAAGATTTTAAGTGCATTTTACTGAATGCAAAACAGTGTGTGTGAGTGTGTGTGTGTGTGTGTCTGTAGATCCTCCATGAAATTCCAGGTATTTCTTTCTTAGAACCTGAAACAGGGCTTCCCCAGAGGTGTTTGTTTTTATTCATTTTTATTTATTTATATTTGTTCATTCTTGCCCGAGGATATTTTTCCATTGGTTTTTAGAGAGAGTGGAAGGGAGGGGGAGAGTGGGAGAGATAGATAGATAGATAGAGACTTTGATGTGAGACACATTGATTGGTTGCCTGCCACATTCATCCTGACCAGGGCCAGGAATTGAACCTGCAATTCAGGTACGTGCCCTTGACCGGGAATTGAACCTGAGACCCTTGGGTTTCAACACAATAGAAGAGTCATTGATGACTCTTCTTGAACCTGTGACCCTCTAGCTACGTAGCCACACTGGCCAGGGCCAAAGGTGTTTGCTTTTAAAGCGGACACTCAGAGCCCTGCTGGGTGCTAGGTGTCACACTAGGAACTGTGGGGTAGTGTCAGTGCGGTCCCCAGCCTGTCCCTGTCCCATGGGAAGTCTTTCTCATAATTCATGTCTTCATCCTGTGAAATGGGCTCAGGCGCTGGGCCCCTCCCTGGGCCCAGGCTAGGTCACTTCTGACTTTTATCATCTTGTTTCTCTGTCCTGTGTACACACACCGTGTCGGGGGTTGTGGGGGGGGGGGGAAGGAAGGGGGGGTATGTCCTTTCTCTCAAGAGCCCACCTTCATTCTTTAGTGTTGGATGTACCTGGAGCACAGCTAAACCCATATACAGATCTTTTTATTTTTTTATATATTTCTAAACATGTTTTTATTGACTTCAGAGAGGAAGGGAGAGGGAGAGGGATAGAAACATCAGTGATAAGAGAGAATCATTGATCGGCTGCCTCCTGCATGCCCCCTACTGGGGATTGAGCCCGCCACCCAGGCATGTGCCCTGACCGGAATCGAACCCTGACCTCCTGGTTCATAGGTTGTGATGCTCAACCACTGAGCTACACCAACCGGGCTACAAATGTTTTTAAAAGGAAAGTTGGTTTAAAAACAAAATGATGGGATGGGTTCAAAGTCTGTTTCTTAAAACAGCCAATTGGGACAATTGGAGTCACCCATGAGGCAAAGCCAGAAATAAACGAGGAAATTTCCTGATTTGAGTGGGAATGTGCTAGTGCCCTCTAGGTTAAAAGGAGACGCTTCTCTCAGCAGCAGTGAGGTGTGCGCGTGAGAATGAGGCCTCTGCTGGAGGGAGTGCGCGTGGTGATGAAGAACCTGGACTTCGGAGCCTGGGTAGGAGATAGGAGGCTCTGCCCATTTACTCCTGTGGCCAGGAGCCTCATTTCACCTTCGGTCACAACTTCCTCGCGGAGTATTCATTTCGATAGCGTATCGAAGGCACTCGGCCCAATGCCTGGTACATAGTGAACGTTCGCCAAATGGTAGCATTTAAAAAGAAAAGCTATTGAAAGAAGCAATGCATTTTTAAAAATTTTTTGGTGTGAGCCTTGATTTTGAGAATTCCGTGGAATCTCAGAATTGCTGGGGGAAAATGTAGCTAGCATCTCCCTTAGTGCAGGGCTCTTTATTTTAAATTTATAAATTACTTTGAGGGTTTTATAAACCCTGCTGAAATTGTGTATATTTTGTATGAATATATCTTCCCCCTCCCCCCCTAGAGAATTTCAGATTCTCATAAAGGTCCATCCCTGGACCGAACACAGGAAGAAGATACTGCCCTGGGGGTGTGACTGCGTGTGTGTATACATGTATCTTCTCTGTTGTGATTACATGCTTTAGGTCAGGGGTCCTCAAACTTTTTAAACAGGGGGCCAGTTCACTGTCCCTCAGACCGTTGGAGGGCCGGACTATAGTTTAAAAAAAACTATGAACAAATTCCTATGCACACTGCACATATCTTACTTTGAAGTAAAAAAAAAACAAAACGGGAACAAATACAATATTTGTATTTGCATGTGGCCTGCGGGCCATAGTTTGAGGACCTCTGCTTTAGGTTGTCTATATAAAACAACAATTTCACATAGTTCAGCCTAATGTTACACAGTATGATGATGAGAGAGACTGTGATGAGTTATGACTCTACCTCATATTCATCTGTTAGGTATCGAAGCCTCCCAAGTTAGAAGTCACCAGCTAGCCTTGTACCAGGAGTCATCATATTTACCCGAAATCACCTGCTGTGTACAGTGTTATGAAAGTCATGAGTCTTCACTGGAGACTGAGTGGTAGCTTTAGCCCATCGAGTGAGTCATTTTTCTAGTTCCATATTCTTTTGATCCAAATGACTACTGTTTGGAGCACTTGCTTAGTATTTTTCTTTTTTAGAATAAAAATACTTAGAATTAAAAAACACTTAGTCTTGCTCAGTATGTTTTCCCCCTGTGGAATTCATAGGGCTGATCATTCTGGGGAGGCAACCCGCCTCGGGGAGATTTCTGGGGCAGTGAGTGGTGTGCTTTCAGAGAGCAGGATCTGGCCGTCGCGTTGAGGGTTAAAGCAGAGGTGACACACAGGCAAAATGAAACCAGAGCTGCAATTACAAAGTGGGGCAGATGTAGGAGGCCAGGTTTCCTGTGGCCCATTTTCCAGTTTCCTGCCTGCAACCTGCAGAACAGGAAGCCGGGTGTTACCGACTTTGCGAACTGCAGGACGACGTGCTCCGGGCAGACAGCACGGACAACAAAGACACTTGCAAAGAAAGTGAACGTTTGGGTCTCAGTCCAGGAATGTCTGGGAAGGAACAACCCATCTGTTTAAAGAAAAAGCATTGTCAATAGTGTGGCGAAGGCCTGGGGTGGGGCGGGGGCGGGGTGGAGAGGGACGAAGGTGGGGGCCGGTGGGGGACATTCTGTAATGCTGTCAACAATGAGTAAAATAAAACGCAAACAAAAAAATGAAAGAGTGTTGTCAGCAGAGCCGGCATGTCCACAAGAGACTCTCTGGGGGCGCCTGGGGGCTGGCTGTCCCGGTTTGTAGGAACCTCTGATTTTCACAGCCTTACTCATCTCTCAAGACATGGTCTGCCTTTTAATCCAGTGGGTTACCTGGAAAGATCTTCCCTGCCATGCCCAGGACTGCTAAATCTGTTTCCTGGCCATGTGGATATACGAGGGAGGTGGATGTGGTTAACCGACGGGCCGTAATGAACTACAGCCTCCCTTTGGGAAGGCTGGGTGACCAGTTGGCTGCTTTGATCTAGCAGGCTTGTGTTCCTTTAACTGCCCAATAAAATCGTGTCTGATGCTTTCAGAGAAGAGATTACGTGGTGATGTGTATGCTGAAGACTGTGGACCGCACACTTCTTGTGTGTGTGTGTGTGTGTGTGTGTGTGTGTGTGTGTGTGTCGCTACCCGATGTGAGGAGAGGCAGGGCTCAGGTGGTCAGAAGACACCGGAGAAGTGGACACGACTATCATCCTCCTGAGGGGGGAAAAAAAAAGAGAAAAATGGTTTCGTGTCTAGGCTCCTTGACACATGGTAGAAGAGTCTCTGAAGTCATACGTTACAATCCCCACTTCAATGGTAAAGAAATTAAGATCCAAAGAAGTTGATTCACTGCACACCGTTTTCTTGAATGCTTATTGATGCTAATGGAGTGGTGGCCAGCAATAAAGAGCTCCAGTTGTGGGTGCTGTGGTGAAGGCTTTCTAGAAGGCGTAAGAAGGCAACACATAAGCCTCGTCAAAGGCTTATCATGGCCAGGGCCCGGGGCTGAGCTTGTCCCATACACCAGCTCATTCCAGTTAACTTGCTTCTTCGAAGTACAGAGAAATAGGTGTGTGCTTCTGGGACAACCAATTATTTGTTTACCCTGTGGATTGATCCCCTCTTCATCTTCCAGCCCAGGAAGAACACACGTTGTACCAGGAATGCCAGGAAGCTTTGGGACATTGCCGAATTAGGGATCAAAGAGGTACCCATCGGAGTCGGCCTAGAATGGGAAGAGGCGCTCTTGCCACCTCCATGTGGGATCAGAGGGCTGGTCGGGCAGTGGTGTGGTGCGGTGGGGTGGGGTGGGAAGTGGCATGAATATACGGATGTGGGAGGAAGTGGAATGGCTCAAACACACTTTCCCAGCCCGAGTTGATGTAGCCATCGCTTTACTTTTCCAAAGGAAATTCCCACAAAAAAAAGTCACCTATGAACCAATTGACTTGTTTCTAACGTGCCCAGAGATAACACAGGGTTTCAGAAGGAAAGAGGGGTGGCTCACAAGCACAGTAAACGACTGTTGTTATTACAGTGGCATTCAGTGATTTCCCCTGAAAATTCTTTTTCTTTTCTCAGGTGGAAGAGTTATTTGAAAAACATTGCAAACTGTGAAGGGTCAATACTATAAGTAGGCTGCGCAACGGGGCCTTTCCCTCTCTTTTCCTGCGCGTTTTACTCTTTAAAAAATGGGCAATCTGTAGGGATTCACAGAATGAATGAGAATACAAACACTTGTTAATAGATAAAAAGCTTTGAGGGGCAAGAACTTGATCTCACAGAGTAGCATTTTTTTTACATGCAGTTATTGACAATAATTAAAATATTTTTGAAAATACATTTCCATAACCTTAGTTCCACCTACAAAAATAAAGATTTCAAGTATGGGCTGCATAGTTACCAGGTATTATCTTTATTAACTTAATTCCTTAAAATTAGCCTTTGTTGAGTTACTGCAGACCTCAGGTAATACATATTATTGTTTCCCAATTCCTTGACTTAAGAGCAGGGTTTGTTTTATATAATGAAATGGTTTCTGCCCTTCCTCTTGGACACTGATAATGTAATGGTACAGAAACACTCAGTAGATGCTGCTCTAGACAGAGGACTTGGACAGGGGAGTTGAATTTAAGAGAATTTTTGCTATGAAGTGTTCAAATCCATCCTTATTTCTCTAATGTGCAAGTGTTAACAAGCAAAAAAGACCGGTACTTACTGAGCGCCTGCTTTATTTACTTCTTACACAGTTCTCCTTTCCTTGGCCTCTCTCATTTCTGACTAATGTTTTTTAAGTCGGCTAATTTCTTTAGTTCCTACAATGCATAAGCCGTAGAAAATGAAAGATAATAATTCTACTTCCTCAACTCCCACCTCAGTGTAACTTTAAAAATGAACTCAGGAGCAGGCAAAGAGAAATGTTAGGTTGCCATCAATAGAAAGAAGAACAAATTAGTGGGTATTTGACTTCTAAGAATGGAAGCAAAAAAACCTCATGCTTTGCATAAAGATTCCGGGCAGCCCCATCTCACATTAAGACGTCTGGCGCCACCTTGTGGCAGACCGAAAGCTTCCAAGACCAGGAAAGCAGCTTCTAGGAGGGAGAGAAGAAGGGAGGAGGCAGCCTGAGAAGGGGCTCCCACAGCCCCCAGCGACAGCGGCAGGTCCAGGTGTTGTGGGCTTGACGCTGAAAACAATTTGGGGGAACCCTCTTCGTGCAAAACAAACCTCCTGAAGTTAGAAATGTAAAATCACTAGGGCTCTTAGACTTTTGCAAAGTGGTGGTCCCTGAATCAGCCTCAGGCTGCAGGTTCAGGTGACAGGGCGATGCTGGTGGTCCTGGGGTAGAGCTAACACTCCCACCGGCCCCTGGAGGGAGCACAGTCACCCTGAGACACTTCTGTTCTTCAGGCTCAAGGGGGAGGCTGTTGGTGTGTGAACTGCAGGCCTTGGTGCTCCAGGCCCCACGCTGCTGCTGCTTCCTTGGCAGTTGTCACTGCTGTTCCCACCCCTGCCTTGTGATAACGTCTGCCTGGTTCCCTCCTTGATTAATGGGTAAAATTAAATCTTTAACCTGTCTTCATTTTTGTATCTGCCAGAGAGCCAGGATGTTACCCAGTGTGAAAATCATTATTATTATTGTTTATTGACTTCAGAGAGAGGAAGGGAGAGGGGAGAAAGAAGCATCAATGATGAGAGAGAGTCACTGACTGGCTGCCTCCTGCACGCCCCCTACTTGGGATCGAGCCCAAAACCTGGGCATGTGCCCCTGACTGGAAATGGAACCGCAACCTCCTGGTCGATGATCAACCACTGAGACACACTGGCCGGGCTGAACATTATTTTTTAACAAAGGAATTTCTCAACTCTCAGTTTCTCCAGGAGGCCTTCCAAGACTGCTCGCGTATCCCAGGCTCCCAGCCCCTTCACCGGCTCTGGCTGCATTTTCCCATGAAGTCAGTATCAAGTTCTAAGGGGCTCCTTTTCCCGTCAGAGCCGTGACACCTTAAAGTGGACTGATCTTCGTAGATATATAAGTGCAGAGTTTGATTTTGCAATTGCAGTACCCTGTAGAATTTCATGCATTCAGAATAACCTGCTGTGTTAAGTAATCACGTTTGCTATTGATGAATGGCCTGTCTTCTCCCCCTGAAGGCACCCTCTATGAGGACAGTGATCTTCATCTCTTTTGTTCACTGATATGTCCCAAATACCCGGCGTCTGGACATAAAATGGACACTCAAAAAAAAAAAAGGAAGGAAGTGGGGAGAATGGAGTTTTGGAGAGCATAGCAGTGTAAACACATTTTACTTACAAATACCTACGTTGGCTCAGTCCTTGCCATAACCTTTGGGTGCGTGTTGGATGCATTTCCACAAAACATCATCTATCCTATGTAAAATGAATTGTTAATCTGAGTGGAGCGGGGGATGTGTGTTATCTGTGCAATTCATTTTACCGTTCTATGAGAATTCTAAACCTTGAGGAGCCTATATCGAAGGGAGAACATAATAAAAATTTTAATGAAAATCGTTTGTCAACATGGGGAAACCTGTTAATTTTTCCCCTGTGCCTTTAAAAGAAGATATGTGTGTTATTCAGATTGGACAGCCTGTTTTTGATGATCTAACTAGACCCACTGCGGCAAGATCTAAGGTATATATTACAAAGGGAGAGCAGTTGGGGCAAATAGGAGGTAGCCTTGTTCTCTGGAGAGGCCTGGAGGCGGGCCTGCCAGCTGCTGTGACTGTCCTGTTTGGTTAGCTCTGGGGTTTCAGAAACGGTGACCATTCATTGCAGGCTACGCCACCGACCGAGGTGAAGTTACTGTCAAGTGCTAAGGGGCCCCTCTTCCTGTCAGAGCGGTGACGCCTTCGAATGGACTGATCCTCTCAGATATCTAAGTGCAGAGGTTGGCTTTGAGTGGCATTATAATACCCGATAGAATCCCATACATTCAAAATAAGGTCTGGACAGGGGGGAGGTGAAGGAGAAGCATTTTCTAATGAGCAGAAATTTGTTTTGGAGGAATGTTTTTAAAGCATTTATATAGCATTTCGTTCATGTGTTCGATGTATTTTCACTTATTTTTTTTTTAAAGAAATTTTTTATTGGTTTTGAGAGAGAGAGGAAGGGAGAGGGAGAGTGAAACATCAATGGCCCAGGCTGCCTCCTGCACACCCCCTATTGGGGATAGAGCCACAACCTGGGCATGTGCCCTGACTGGTAATCGAACCGGCAACTTTTTGGTGTATGGGATGATGCCCAACCACTGAGCCACACCGGCCAGGGCTCATGTGTTCTGGGTATTTTCAGTGGAGAGTTTTCCAAATGAGCTAAATGAGGCGGCTGATGAAACATTTTAACTTGAAGCTGGCCTCTGTTTGCATAATGCTGCACACAGCCTAAATCTCAAGTATCAACACTTTTTCCAACTTTTTATTTAATAGGAGCCAGAGTATACTGTCTGAGTTACTCATATTCCTCATAATACCTGCATGTTAAGACACCGGGCTTCATTGAAGAATTAATCTGGAAAAAACAAAACAAAAACCAAACACTTAGATTTTTTTTTTCCTGGTGAGAGAGAGCTTCATTTGGATAATTTGCTAATATGTTCTGTGCTGGCGGTTGCTGGAAGAGCATGCTCCGCAGTCACGATGTTAGATTCTTCCTTTTGCAGTGTCCCAGAGGGAACAAAATTTGTAGCTGGCAGGGGTGTGATAGAGTGTGAAGCGTGATTGTATGTAAAAACAACTGTGCAAATGATGACACTTAATCACGATTAAAATGAGTTAAGGTTTGAATTAAAATCAAAGAAACACAGCGAGTGCCCTTGCATGGAGAGCACAGCGGTGACATCAGCTGGTGGCCCTGCCCTGCTGCCCCCCCCCGCCCCGCCCCTGCCCCCCCCCAACATACACTCTCACATTTTAATCCCCCCTAGGGCTCTGGCCAGAGGGTGTGGGAGGGTCCACAGCTGTCTTTGGGGCCCACTCTATCCCAGGATTACTTCTGCCAAGTGTTGAAGGGAGTGACAGATGTTTCTAGATGTGATTATTAGCTCACTGGGAAATATTTCTGAGACTCATCTCTGAGTCATGTGTGACGGGGATTTTCAACAGTGAAGATTTGTGTGCTGTGCAGTCCTCGAAACTGGTGGACCAACCAGGGCAGAGGGGTGGCTGGAGAGAGCAGGGAAAGCAGAGAATGAGCCTCAGCCTTAGGCAGGAATGGCTTGATGCCTTAGTCACCTCCGGTGGAACCGTGTTACTCACATGTAACTCTTCCGAGTAACCCTCCAGCCCTCAGTGGTGGCCCGGCTGTGACACGTCGGCCTGGAGAACCCAGGGGGAAGGGAACGGTCCACAGCCCGCCCAGCCACCAACCAAGCTCTCCTGGCGTGTGAGAGTTTGCGGGCAGCTCTGTGGTTCTTGGTTCACAGCTCCATGCCTCCCCTCGGCCCAGTTCCTGCATTCCAGAAATCTGGGGGGGGGTGGGCTGATCTGGAGGTCCCCATCTCCACCACTTGCTTGTCTTAGGCCACGGCCATTGTGCACGTGGTCATCACTGAGCCCAACGGAGCCCTTTGAGTAAAGACATGGCCAGCCAATCCTCTGCACCTCGTAGAATACTTTTTGTAAAGTGCTGGTGACTGTAAATGTAGGCACTATAGTGTAAAGACACCCCAGCAAAGAGAGAGTTTTTAAAGCAAAAACATCGGGCATTGTAATAGTCAGCTTTTGCTGCAAAGGTGCCGTGTAACAAACTGCCCCTAGACTTGCTGGCTTACAACAGCATTTCTTTTTCTCCTGGGTTGGCTTCAGGGATGCTACTTCAGACTGTGGGACCTGAGACTTGGCTCCAGGCTTTGGGTTGAGCTCAGGTTGGGCCCATGCATCACATTTTGGAGCAGCAGCTTCACAGTGGTGAGAGGAGCACAGGAGGGAAAGCACAAACGTGTGAAGCCCCTGCAAACGCGGCTCAGAATCATCACGTTGTAGCTTCTACCGCCATTCCATTGGCCACATCAAAGCACTTGGCCAAGCCCAAATTTCAGTGGGATGGGGGAAAAGTACCCCATCCTGTGTAGGGCACTGTTGCACGATTATGTGAACAGGGAAAGGAGGGAAGGCTTGAGGGCATTTACCCAGCCTTCTCCATAGCTCCCATGCACACCGTGGCAACGCCATGGGAAGGGATTCCAGGAAGCTCAAGGAGCTCTGAGGAGGCCTGCGTGGGAGGAGCACCGAGTGTAAAATGCATGGAGGTGTTTCCATGGTCCTCCCGTCCCATCTGGAACACAGTGGTTCATGTCCATTGCAGGTGGGGAAGGGCAGGGGGCCGACCACTTTCCCCTGGTCCCTTGCACCCTCACCTCCAAACCTCCTGGCAGCCTTCTGACCTTTGGAGCAGGTTCCTCTGAGCATCCCCTTCAAGTTTCAAAGATATTTCAAAAGTGACTTTCTGAAGTATTTAGCTAAAAACACACCAAAGAATTTGAGACAGCTGCTAGCAATTCTTAGTGCCAATGATGAGAAGAACGCCTGTGGCTCATCTATATTATAAAAGGCTAGTGGCCGTAATGACCAAACGACCGGTCACCAGGAGGTGCATTGATGGGTCTCATGAGATTTCACGTGCTGGGCCTCTAGTCCTCTGGTAACTGGAGGGTGGTTTTTGTCAGGAGCTGGAGCCCATGAGCTGCTGCGTATCACAGCAGTTGTGCTTACAAGACTCGTGAGAGGCAACGGGGGTTTTGATCCAATAAGACAATGATTCGCAGTCTCGCAGACGGAGTGGCCATTGTGCGGAGGGTTGATTCCCCTTTAAATGGCCATACATAGAATGCCGTGTGGGTATCTGAGAACACTCTTCATCTGCTTTCCTTTAACTGAGAAACCCAGGTTGCTTAGAGAAACAATAAAATGTGTTCCTTTGGCTAAACGTGTGAAAGGCAATGAGGAAATGACTCCTTGTTGGATGGCTAGGTGTTTTCACATCCCTGACCACGTGGAAAGGGGGAAAAACAAGTTGCCAGCCTGAAAGCTGCCCCTTTAAGAGGGTTGCATGAGAGGAGTTGTGGAGATGGCCACAGTGTGGGGACAGATAACTCTCCCGAAGCAATGATTCTGGCTCCCAGGCCTCCCAGGGGCGGGAACCCTCACTGTTCCCGGGGTCCAGTCACACCTCCTAGGACGTCACTGTCCCCTCGTGGCTGTCACAGTTCTTGCTGGCTTTGTCCCCAGCTCTCAGCTTGCCCATAACGCCTCTCTTTCTACCCGAAGCTCAGTTCCCACCCTCTGTTAGTCCCTGGCCTCCTCGGCCCAGCACCGACTGTCACCCCATCCCGCCCACATGGGAACCCAGCGCACGGCCTGTGTCCAGTCACCGCAGCTCATCTGAGGTGAAGCGTGTGCGTGCAGCCCAACCACCTCTTCTTTCCTAGTTTGATGAGTGTTGATAAGAGAGTGGATTATTGTCATGGTTATTGTTGCTGTTATTATCGGGTTTAGAATCAGTACCCGTTGCCACGAAAGTCCTCAAACGCCTGAAGTTGGGGAAGCACCGAGGGAGTGGGGCGAAATGTCCTCGAGAAGGCACTGTTTCAGTGATGGCGAACCTTTTGAGCTCGGCGTGTCAGCATTTTGAAAAACCCTAACTTAACTCTGGTGCCCTGTCACATACAGAAATTTTTTGATATTTGCAACCATAGTAAAACAAAGATTTATATTTTTGATATTTATTTCACATATTTAAATGCCATTTAACAAAGAAAAATCAACCAAAAAAATGAGTTCACTTGTCACCTCTGACACGCGTGTCATAGGTTCACCATCACTGCCCTAGGTTCTTCTTTGAACCTATTTGAACGGGGTCCCGGTGAGTGAGTAGGCATTCACCAGCCTCCCAAGCCAGGGAACAGCATTTTAGGCAGAAGGAACAGCACTCACAAAGTCCACACCCGAGTCCAAGGGAAAAGATAACATTTTCTAGGTTTTCCTCTCATGGCGGAGAAAAAAAATGCTGTTCCCGCCTCCGCACGAGTGACGGTGGGGTTTGATCTGCAAGCTGACGAATGCCTGGGAAAGTGCGGAAGCCTCTTCCAGTGGCAGACATCTGCCGGCTGGCGCATGCTGCATCCGGGCACTGTGCTGGGTTGGCAGAGTGCTGGGAGTACAGAGTGAGCCCACAAAGACCCTTCCTCTCGAAGCTCAGCCTATAGTCACCCCGACTGATATCCCCCAACCTCATGATCCCAGGCCCCCACGCAGATGCACGTATCAAGGGGTCCGGCATTCATATCAATGAGCGGACTAGAGACCGACCAGCAAAGGAGTTGATAGGATGGGTGGACACAGACACTAGTGTTAAGTGGAGAATCGTTTGAATGGGGTCTAATGCTACAGGTGGGCAGTTCGTTCATCATTTTTCACTTTATTTCTAACGCAACCCTGTCACCTGTGGGGATGTGTGTTGTGAATACGAGGACCACAGGGCTGCCCTGTATTTCTGAATCATAGCTGTTTCCAAAATGCAGCCCGAGGCACCCGATTCCGAGTGGCCTGGTGGGATGGACATGAACGCGAGGGTATTGGGTTCCCGGGGAGGGGAGAGGGGGCACGGAGGGTTCACCACCCCCCCCCCCCGCCCCCCAGACTTGCCGTGTGCACGGCCCTGACCCGCCCCTCCCTCCCCAGGTATGGAGAGTGCAATCACGCTGTGGCAGTTCCTGTTGCAGTTGCTGCTGGACCAGAAACATGAGCATCTGATCTGCTGGACCTCCAACGATGGTGAGTTCAAGCTCCTCAAAGCAGAAGAAGTGGCCAAGCTGTGGGGACTCCGCAAAAACAAGACGAACATGAACTACGACAAGCTGAGCAGAGCCCTGCGCTACTATTATGACAAGGTAGGCCCTTGCCGGACTGGAGGCTGTGGTGGGGAGCTGGAGGGGGGGGGGTGGGGGGGTGGGGGGCTGGGGGGCCTCCATAGTCCATGGTTGAAAGCACATAACCGTGTACTGTGAAGCAAGTTAGAAAATCAAATAGAGGCAATGTATGCAGTTTTGGTTGTTTTGGGTGTTTTTTTTTAGAAAAACAGCTATGGAAATTTTTTCCCCCCCGGAAGCCCTTTGGGTATGACTGCAGGTCCAATTCTAGGCCTTCTGCATTTTCACCTGTCGTAGCTGCAGGCCTCTGTGAGCAACAGAAATTAGATGTGGGTAGGTTGTGGGGCTTCCCTCACGGCTGCTGGGGTGACAGGATGAATGTTAAAATCTAGAAAGTCTGTTGATCTCATCTGGTTTGTAGTTCCCGCACCTGGGCCTTTCCTCGGGGATGGTAGCTTAGGTCTTTCCTGGGGGGATGGTAGCTTGGGCGTTTCGTTCAGTGCCTCTGGGTCCTCATTGATAAACCAGGATCCTACCAGTCCTGGCTCAGGATCCCTGTAAAGATGCAGCGAGTGTCATATGGTCAGTGTTACTTAAAACCAAGCATGTCAAACTCGCGGCCAGTGGGCCGCAAACCTCGTTTATTTACAGGAGTCCTGTGGCCCACTGCCCGCGAGTTTGACATGCTTGCTTAAAACAGTGCTCGGTACATGGAGTTCGAAACTTCCCTAATCCAAGGAAAAATCATGTTCCTTTTTAAGTCACAGCATCGTTGCCAGAGCCAGGACAGTTGTGCATTTTGATCATTTCTGGAAAAAGCAGTTAATGTGTCTACTAGGGCAAAAAACAACAACATTGCTCTTTAGGGGCAATCGCTTCGGGCCTGGAATTGTTGACCATTTCTGTGTGGCTCTGTTGTTGCTGACCATGTAGCCTCATCGACAGAAAGACTTGGTCTTAATGAGGGAGAGCTTCTGTTCTGGTTTTACTGCTCGTATCGAAAGGTGGATTAAAAACTGATTTAAGTATTAGTTCCCGATCTATATTTAACGATTCCTCCTGCCAGCCTCTTTGGAATTCAGGACAGAAGGATTACACGTTTCAGGAAGTGGAGGCATCGTTAATTATAAAGGTTCCTTCATGCGATCGCAATGGCACATGATTATGGCATTGAAATGTTCGAGGTGCTTTCCTTTAGTGTGGCAGCTAATGAGTCCCGGCTCAATGCAGGGTCCCACTAAGATGTGAAAGCACGTCTTGCCAATGGCGCTCGCTGCCTGCAAGCCTGGCAGCCGGTCTATTGTTTGGCGTTTTTACCCAGGTCCTAAGTTGCACGATGGGAATTGGGACCCTCTGAAGGAAAACAGTCGTCTCGCCGGCTGGCAGGGTGCCCGAAAGCCTGAGGCTTTAAAAAGAAATCATTGTTTTAAGATAAGGTGTCAAAGGAAAGGAGCCCTGCCTCCGGGTCTGGGCCTCCGTTTCACCTCTGAACACTGGGGCTAAGGACCCCGGGTCGTCAGCAGGAAGGGAGGTCGTGGGCTGGAAATGACACGAAGAGACGGGCAAAGCTATTGCTGCTGAGACCACACCTGGTCTCCCTGGAGTAGATGTTTTAATCTCTAAGGAAAGCCATTTCAGAGGCCGCAGTCACCGGCACTGGGCTGAGGGCTCCCTACCCTAAAACTACAACCCCTCCAAGACAGCCCCTCTGGCATCGTCTCCTTTCTCAGGTGAGGATGCGGGGCTTTGGTGAGAAACCTGCCCACCGTCCTGCAGCCAGGAAGCCGGGGAGCCGGGATGCCCATGTTCCAGTCCAAAGGCCCACACCCCGCCTTCTAGGCCTCTCCTTCCTTTTTTACTCTGAATCACCTGAGTTCCAGGTGGGCCGTCAGGCAGTGCAAAGTGTATTGCAACCTTAAACAGTCTTTGTTGATTATCAAGCACTTCAGCACTGAAAAATCCATTGCACACGGGGTGTCAGGCTGCACCCAGGCTGGGGATCCCAGTGGCCAGAGAGGCCTGCTCCCTGAAATTGCCCCTTTCCTCTCCTGCTGGGGCTGAGCTGGAGGTCTGGCCCAGTGACCTCTGAGCAGCAGCTGGTGCTGACAGTGAGCGCAGGGGCAGCTCTCGTCCTGTGTGTCACAGGCTTGGCCCTGGAGAAGGTGCCCTGCGTCCATCCTTGGACCTGTGTGCACGTGAGAATGTGTCCACACAGTGTACACATATGTACACACGGCTGTTTTCATCTTCCTCCTGAAATGTTCTCAAGTGATGAAAATGTTCTCAAGTGATGAATAAGAGTGATGGTTAGACTCCTGACGTAGTTTAAAGAGAGATGAAGAGGGAGGAGGGGGAGGAGGATGAAGGAGGAGAGAGGACAGGCTGAGTGGGGGAGGAGGAGAGAAGAGGAGGAGGAGGAGGAAGAGGAGGAGGAGGAGGAGGAGGAGGAGGAGAAATGGCAAAAGAAGGTTACAAAAAGTACCCTGCATTTTACGCTTTAGGTGAATACCTCTTTCAGTTTTGCCAAAGTTACTCTGTGTGTAAATGGAACCATATGAAATTGCCAACATCTGGCCATTTTTGACCCACAAAAATGGCGATCTTAAATGATCCAGGCTCTCCCCTAAGAGACGGACTTGAGGAGGGTCTTTGTGAATGTGAGGCCCCTGGCCACCTGGTGTGCCCCACTCTGCACCACACACGTTTCAGTTTCCCAACACTGGGCATGACCTTGTTTGCCATTTACTGTTCTCCTCCCCCTCCCCCTCCCCCTCCCCCACCCCGTCCTCCTCCCCCCTCCCCTGACACTTACTCCAAACTTGCTCTGCACTGGTTGTAAATTGGGTAACTTCCTACCTTGACAGCTGTGTTCTTCCTTCCTGTTGTTTTTTTTCTGTCATTTGCGAGCCACCATCTCTTCACTGAAATTCTTGGCTGAAATTGCACATCCCTGGGTTTGTCCTAATAGGGAAGTTTTCCTGCCACAGTAGACGAGCATGAGCGTGCCATTATTTTTATATGGTATACGTTATATTTTTAGCTCATTCCGGAATACTAGAGATGGGTAGAGAAAAGGAGTGGAAAATACGGGCAGAACTTGGCCGAAGGCATCGGAGGAGGGTAACGGATGGGCTGATAGTGTCAGGCTGGGCTGAGGCACTTGAATCATCGTTCCTCCAAAAATCGCCCCACCCTCCTCCAGCAAGGCTGTTACAGGGTGAACTCTGGGCTGGAGTGTCTGGGTTTGAATCCAGCTCTGACTAGGTGCTTCGCCTAATCTCGCTGGGTCTCAGCTTCCTTTTTGGTGAAATGGGTGTAATAGAGTCTACACCGTGGGCTTGTGCTGGGGATTAGCCGAGTTCACACATTAGCTGAGAACAGTGCCCCAGACACATCAGGTGCCACAAAGATGAACCAGAGTAATGACAGATGCTCTGTTCCTTATCGCTCATCGGAAAAGCTCAGGCAGGTGCAAGGGAGGAAATGGGGACTTTTGTCCTGCCTTCCGGCACGGGCCACACAGAGAGGACAGCTCGCGTCCCTGTGAGCCATCAGGTGCGCTGGGTTGTGCTTGTTAATGACTGAAGAGGCATGGCCACAGGTTCTTTACCCAATAGCCTATTTTTTTAAAATTTTTTTTATTGATTTTTAGAGAGCGAGGAAGGGAGAGAGAGAGAGAAACATCAATGAGAGAGGAACATCATTGATCGGCTGCTCCTGGGCGTCCCCCACTGGGGATCGAGCCCTCAACCCAGGCATGTGCCCTGACCTGGAATTGAACTGGCGACCTCTTGGTTCCTGGGTCGATGCTTAATTGCTGAGTCACACTGGCCGGGCCCAGTGGCCTATTTTTGTCTATGTTGGCTGTTCTGAAAATTCAACTACGAAGATGTTTTCCTATTTTAGTGACTCTTCCTTGCCCCTCTGAACCAAAGCGCACACTGTTCTGCACACCCCAGTAGGAGCGAGTCTCCATCTCTTCTGAGTGGCCGGCATGGTCCAGGCTGGAGTCCCGCTGTCCCCAGGTCTCTGAGCCGAAGTTCACCCATCGGAAAGCGGGCATCCTAACAGCACCTTCCCTCGTCGGTTTGTGTAGGATTAAATGTGACGAGAGGCGCTCAGCACTGCCAGGCACTTGGTGGCACACAATAAATGCTCCTCGTTTCTGTTATCTGTGCTTATTAACGTGCTGCATGGCCTTCACATGGCTGTGTACATAGCCGGCTCCCTCGCAAAGCTGTCCTCACGTGGTCTCCTGGCTCACCCACTTTTGCGGCTCTGGGACCCTGCGCAGCCTCTCGCATGCATTAGTTGCTCAGTTCATGTTAAATGAATGAGCCAGTGGACCACATAATGCGGTGGACACTACCCAAACACAAATCACTCAGATAAATGTTGACGTTAAGTAAGCGTTACAGTTAAACACACGCATTTTACAGTATTAATTTCCGAGGGCTGCTGTAACAAGTGACCACAAAGTGTGTGGCTTGCAACAACAGATATTTCTTGTCTCAGTCCTGGAGGCCAGAAGCCTGAAATCCAGTCTCGGCAGGGCCATGCTCTGAGACTCTGGGTAGAACCCCCTCCCTGCCTCTCCCTGGCTCCTGGTGGTCTAGGTTGGCCAGTAGCTGCATCACTCTAGTCTCCGCCTCTGTCCTCACATGGCATTCTTCCTGTGTGTCTCTCTCTTCAAAGTTCCCTCCTATAAGGACACCAGGTCTGTTGGACTAGGGCAGTGATGGCGAACCTATGACACGCGTGTCAGAGGTGACACGCAAACTCATTTTTTTGGTTGATTTTTCTTTGTTAAATGGCATTTAAATATATAAAATAAATATCAAAAATATAAATCTTTGTTTTACTATGGTTGCAAATATCAAAAAATTTCTATATGTGACACGGCACCAGAGTTAAGTTAGGGTTTTTCAAAATGCTGACACGCCGAGCTCAAAAGGTTCGCCATCACTGGACTAGGGCCTATCCTCATGACCTCATCTTAAATTGGTTGCATCAGCAAAGAC